CTCTTCCAACTCTTTGATTCTATGATTCTAAGTGACTGGCTTGACCTTGAAGGAGCTGGGGGTGGTGACGGCCGACAGGGAGCTCTGGTGTGGCCTGGTTCATGAGATAATGAAGAGCCGTAAGCGAATGAATGAATGTACATGTGTGATCCAAGATACACTTTGGATATGAGATATCAGAAACAATTGGCTGGGGAACAAAGATGCTATACAGAAATCTGTCCTGAAGGACATTTCCTTTCTGTGATGGTACCTTGCTGCATTTGGAAAACCCAAATATGGACTATATTGGATAAGAAAAGAAGCCTGACCAGAAGTGCAAAAGTTCTAACAACTGCTTTTGAGGACTAGTCCAGACATTTGTTGGAAGCACATATGGATGCTGTAAAGAGTTTGTAAAGGAGCCACCAATTTATAAGGGTTTATTAATTTGATAGCATAGCTAATAGCTAGTAATATTGATTTAGTCTTTCTTTTGTGTAGCGTGACCAGGCGGCCCTAGGTAATTTTCAACTGTAAGCAAACAGTATTTTGCCCCCCCCCCCCCCCTCAGCCAATCACTGATATATATTTTCTGTTTGTTGTGGTAGTTCTGTGTGCCATATTTGGTCCAATTCCATCATTGGTGGAGTTCAGAATGCTCTTTGATTGTAGGTGAACTATACATCCCAGTAACTACAACTCGCATATGTCAAGATCTATTTTGTCCCAAGAGTGCCTCAAGAGTGCCCCTGGGCAAAATCAACTATACTGAAAATGCTTACTTTGCGTAATGGGTTGAGCCGCCCCTGAGCATGACTTAACTCGGAAAGGAATTGTAACAGAGACAGAGCTTTAGGAAAAACAGTAACAAGTTTATTGAAATGTAGAAGGAGCTTGATGGTTTCAATGTTTCTTACTCTTAGAGGCACATATCTTCAAAGGTTACATTTATAACATTCCTTAAACAACTCTGGAAAGGACTCTTCCTTCCACTAAACAGGTTTCCAACTTATTTTTCTTCAAACTGTGTTTCTTCCCTTAATAGATTACTTCAGTTACAAGCTTATACTTTCTTTGTGATGTTTCTGTTGCAATAAAGATCCTCACTGAGTTTCTCTCACCCTTTCTTCCATACACTAACTATTAATATAAATAAATCAACTCGACTTATTTAAACTACTCAGGCTAAAAGCCAAAACCTCCCTGATTCTCACTACTATGGAATCAGCCTTTCCTACAATTCAGAGACTGTACACCAACCCATTGGTTCTCAACACACACTAGAACCAGCCTCTCCTGTAGTTTGCTGACTACAGACTAACTGTTTTAAAATGGCTGCCCTGCCAAGTGGCAGTTGGCTCCGCCCCTGTTTCCATGGTAACCCAGCTCAACATGAGCTGAGCTGGCTACCATCCCCCTTAGTTATGCAACTTTAAATACTTACCCTTTAAAACAGGGTAACAGAGATCATTGTGGACTCAAACAATGATGGATTGGGATCAAACTTGGCACAAATACTCAATATGCCGAAATTTGAACACTGGTGGAGTTTGGGGAAAATAGAATCTTGACATTTGGGAGTTATAGCTGCTGGGATTTATAGTTCACCTGCAATCAAAGAGCATTCTGAACTCCACCAATGATGGAATTGAACCAGTCTTGGTACACAGAACTCCCATGAACAACAGAAAATACTGGGTTTAGTGGGCACTGACCTTGAGTTTTGGAGTTGTAGTTCACCTGCGGCGCTGCAGGGGCTTGTTCTCCCGGCACGGCTGGGAGTGGAGCGGGAGGCGCATCATGGCCGCAGAGAGCAGAGCGGCCGGATCAGAGGGTGTCCGTCTGCAGAGGACCCACCTGGGAGGCTTCTCCCTCCCACACAGGCAGAGCGGCCGGAGTAGAGGATTTCCGCGATTGGCGGAGCAGTGCCGGATGGGTGTGGCCAGGGAAGCCGGCGTTCCCTGGCCACGCCCACCTGGCACC